ATTTGCCTATTAAACAATAAACTTTAAATGGATGATTATCCATGATACCATAAATAATTTTCAATTTAAGTCATAGTGCCATATCCCAAGTCCATTCACCAACATTCTTCAAAATTTAAGCAACCATTTTTAAATTTTACTTCTTATTTAATTATTATTATTAATAAAATTAGTACGCGTAATAAATAATAATAAAATTGGTTGCTTAAATTGTATTATTTTATGTCAAAGCAAAATCAACCACCAAACCATTCATCCATCTAGCGAAAGCTTAGAAAAAATGCAAGAGGCTTAAACTAATCCTACTCCTGGCTTAAACTACTTACTTCCGTAACTTTCATTTAATGATAATAATAATAATCGATTAAACATAAAAACGATAATATTCGGAATGTGAAGTAAGCGTTCGCGCCAAAAAAACATCTCTATAACTAAATAAACTAAAAAAACCCAATATTAAAATAAAAAAAATAGTAATGATATTTGATGTGAATTTGTACAATGTCTTCTTATATAAGTACTACTTCAAAAAATCCTATATAAAAAATAGATTTTACCCAGCTCCCTTCTATCGACAAAAATGACGTACAGAAGAATAACTAGGAACAACAATTAATAGAAATAAATTCGCGATACTTTTCAATGAGTTATTGCAAAAAGTGAATAATTATTGTAAGGCAAAAAAAGTCTCGCGAATTTATTTCCACCTCCACAACAGGTTTAAATATTAAACACCAGTTGTTGTTCCTAGTTAACTTTAACATAGTCCTATACCAAATAAGATTTAAACAAAAACCCAATCCAAATATCTATATATTAGTGGCGGACATTTTTGTTATGACAAAAGCCATCGCATAAAAACAGGATCGGGGAATGTAAAATATTTATTATAAAAATATAATATTATCAACCTTCTAGGGCTAAATTAAATATATCTCAAAAATATCAACAACCATATCATAAGAAACAACGTTTTTTGTCGTCAGTCTAAAATTTTTGCTATGATTAAGATTGTCGTAGAAACTTCATAACAAACGTGGAATGTCTTTAATCACATGTTAATCTCTTTACAGTCTTGCAAAAATCAACCTCCATATTGATTTAGCTCGGCTAGTTCACGTAATTGTCTCAAAATTATGTCATTTCATTTGCTCAAGTACAAATTGTCAAAACTTGCTGCCTCAACTAAGTAACGCTGAGGGTTTTTCAAACAAAAGCTGCTTTGTTTCATTAATAATTATACTAAAATATTATATTCTTAACCTTAATATAAAAAGTATATATTGTCATATATAAGGCACTAATTATTAATAGGGGGTGTTCTAATTCTAGATATGTACAAATATTAAAGCACTTTATAGTTGCCGGATTTTAGCAATCTCAATTAAATTTAACAATTAAAAATATTTACATCAAAGTTTATGAAATTAATTAAACAATGATTAAATAGTTAAACTATACACTAAACCACAGGCTTAAAATTCAATTCGATGTCATTCCTAGTTGATTAGAGTAAACAATATCATATAGAGGTGTCAGACACCTATGAGTAGTGCTTCAAAATATCCAGAAAATGAAGTGCTCGATAAAAAACAGGTTTTTATTTAAAAAAATCTTTAAAAACGGAAATTTTCGGAAAAATTGATAAATTGTTGTTTAATTTATTGTATTAATATTTGTGATTATTTATAGGGGAAGTACCAATCCTCTATCCTGAAACTAAATATTGATGGCATTGAAAAATTTATTAAACTTACTTAAACATTTTCTTTATTTTTTGTGAATTTGTAAATTAGTCGCTATCATGTCATAAAAATGCATTTTTGAACTACAAAAGTAATTTAATAAATAGAATTGCGTTAAAACTTCAATTTGAAGTGATGAGTTTTATTGCAAAACCACACTTTTGTAATGGATTGACTAAGGTATTTCATTTCATTTTATTTTCACTGAAACTCCAAAATATTTTTAAAACATCGAAAAAAAATGTTTCTCAAAGTTTTAGTCTTCCTTTTTTATTTTGAATTTTTCCCATTTAAGTAACAATGAACCACAATATGATAGATTAAAACGCGGAAAAGATTTGAAATTTAAAAAAAAGTGATTGAAAATACATGCTTTTTAAATAGGAAAAATTCAAAATGATAAAGAAGTACTTAGAATATTTTGGAGTATTGGTGAAAAACAAAAAATAGTCGTTTTAAATGAAACACCTTAGTGGTTACCCACATCTTTATTGATAATTATATAAAAAAAGCAACTAAAAAATTGTGTCCACCACTGCCAAAATGTGTTATTTTGTCTTCTTTCTCTAAAATCGAAATCGTCCAAACAAAAGTCACTTTTTGGCCTTGGTACACAAATAACTATTATCGTCCCAAAACGCGATTCTATACATAAAATCATTTTTGTAGTTTAAAAATGAATTTTTGTGATATTAACTATTTAACAAACTCCAAAAAAAAAAATTGAGCGCGTCCAATAAATTGGCCAGGGACTTTATGTTTATTTTTTGTATTGCTAATGCCGTTCATAATTTTATTTTTTAAAACCTTCAAAACCGGAAATTTTAGTAAAAATGTATGTCCATAAATTATTTTATTGGATACAGTCCTTGTAAAATTTATTAAACTTCAAAATTTTCTTTATTCTGTGAGTTTGTAAAATAGTCGCTATAATCTCATAAAAATACATTTTTAAACTACAAAATTGATTTACTGAATAGAATTGCGTTAAAACGTCACTTTTGTGATGGATTGATCAATTTAAGTCAAACCTTGGCAATGCATTGTGGTTTCACTGTGTAACCACCCATTTTTTTTTAATAAATGAAAAAACCTGTAGGGTTTTGTTTTATGTATAATAAATAAAGTATAATGAAGTTCGCCCAAAAATTGTGTTATTTTGACTTCTCTCTTTAAAATCAAAATCGTCCAAAAAAGACACTTTTTGGCGTTAGTAAATTAGACTGGGCCAAAAAAATCAGCCATATTTTTTAAAAAGTATATCGAAAATATGGTTTGGGGTGACAAAAAAAATTATTGTGAAAGTTTGAGTCCATAATATTAATATTAAGAGGTCTATCATCGCAGTTTTAAATTTTTTTTCCTCAGCAAGTTTTTGTCTCAGAACTCCCAAACTATTGAGTTTAACAAAATTGACTTGGAAATATTTTTTTAAGAAAATTAAATGCTTTACAAAAAAGGTTAAAATGAAATTTTCCGTCAGATGAACCGTTTCCCTAAAATCATGCCTTAAAAATTGGTATAGTTTTACATTTTGATCTTTTAACTTTGGAATTTTGTAATTCATGAAAAAATCAGTACCCAGAAAAAAACCGATGAATATTCTTGTGGGAAATCAAATGCTTTACAAAAAAGCCTGTTAACATTCTTGGATAAATTCACTTAATCAAAAGGTTAAAGTTGAAATCAAAACAAAATTCTTGTTTTTTCCTCTGTTTATTTATTTTTTTATGGGTGATAATTTGATTTTTTTCTAACTAATTAACAATTTCCAATAAAAAACAAAATGATTGTTATTATTTAAACGATTAATTTTCAGTAATTTTATCAATAACATAAAGATTATCATCAAGAATTCAAGTTTTTAACTGACTAAAAAAAAATCTAAAGCAAAATTTCGTTTTGACTTCAAATTTAACCTTGAATAACTTTTGATGGAGTGAATTTAGCTAAAAATGTTACGAGACTTTTTTTGTAGAGCATTTGATTTCCCATAAGAATATCAATCGGTTTTTTTTCGGGTACTGATTTTTACATGAATTACAAAATTCCAAAGTTAAAAGATCAAATGGTAAAACTATACCAATTTTTAAGGCATGATTGTAAGAAAACGGTTCATCTGACGGGAAATTCCAATCAAACCTTTTTTGTAGAACATTCAATTTTCTTCAAAAAATATTCTTAAGTCAATTTTGTAAACTCAATGGTTTGGGAGTTCTGAGACAAAAACTCGCTCAGGACAAAAAAAATCTAAAATTGCGATGACTTCTTAATATTAATATTATGGACTCAAACTTTCACCATAATTTTATTTTGTCACCCCAAACAATATTTTCGATATACTTTAAAAAAAATATTTGTCAATTTTTTTGGCCCAGTTTTTAACGCGATTCAATTTTGTGATAAGAAATCAACTATTTAACAAACTCGCAATATAAAAAAAGCCAATAAATATTTTTTATATTGCTGATACAATAATTTTTGTGATCCAATTTTTTCAAAAAAGCATTTTTTCGCACAAATCCGTTTTTCCCCAAAGTTCCTGTTTTTTTTCGAACCTTTAAACATATGAGTAAGTTTTAATCAAATAAGAAAACCGAAGATTTTTAGTTGCCTAAGGTTATGAGACGGAATGTAGATGTTACATATTAGGGTAAAAGTGCTGATAAACAGGCACCGAACCTGGCGCGTGGAAGGCGCGTTTGGCCGGAGTCGCTTGCTCTTGGAAAGCATCCCCGTAGCTGCGTTTCATGGCGACGTGGGGAGACATGACCGGAATGGTCATGCCCGGGGGAGCCCCCTGCAGCAAGTGAGGGGGGTAGTGCGCCATCTGCGGGTGCCTGGGCAAACCCATGGGCATCCTCTGCGGCAGCACGAACAACGGGTGTTGAAACATGTGAGGCATTAGGTGCGGCGGCGGTTTAAGATTGTGCTGGCCGTTGGGCGACAACGGGCCGACGTTGGGGTTGTGCAGCATCGCCAAGTTGTGGTGCGCGATCTGATTCATGAGAATCAGCTCGTTTTGAGCTTGCGCTTGCGCCTGCGCGGCCTGAGCCTGACTCTGCCGCGCGAGCAGGTTCTGCTGCGCTATTATCTGCGCCTGCTGCTGCGCGAAGAGCGGGTTGTCCCCCCACGCGATCTGCGGCTGCGCGTTGACCAAATTTTGAGACAATTGCGCGTGGCCGGCCGCGCTGGTCGGCGGCGGAGGCGGCGGTATGTTAGTGGGCGGTAGGGAGGGAATTTGGGGCAACATACCGGGACTGAGGAGGGCCGGGGCGGCCTTGGCGGGCGACACCGAGGCCGGGATGCCGCCGGTCAGCACGAGATTCATGTCCTCGCCGCTGCACTGGAACACCTCGATGTAGCGCTGCTTCTTGCCGAAGATCATGTAGCGGTGGTGCTTCTGCTGGGCGGTCACGTACGCCGACTGCTCGGTGTCCATCTGGATGAACGCTTCGCCGCTCGGCTGACCCTACAACCAATTCAACAATGTCGTATGTAGAGATGTAAGAAACGGTTTTCTTCAAATGAGAAAAAAACATGAAAAAAAAACTAGAAAAAAAACGGTTTTTTTTGTTTTTTTTTTCAAATCCGCTGCAATAAAGCATATTCTGTCAATAAATAACATCAATCTTAAAAAATGGAGTAATTTTTCAAAATGAAATTTTGAGTAAAATTTATATTAATAATAAAGTAAAATGTAGAATATATTACATTTTTCATTATTGAAAATTTTAACCGAGACTAAAAAATCTGATTTCTTATTATATGGTAGTTTCCACATAAGAAACCAATAGCAATGTAAAACTTCTAAACTAATAGAAAAAAAATTCCAAGTTTTTTGCGATTTTTCGGATAGCTGTATCCAGAGTTGCGAGATTTGTACTTAAAAAGTATTGCCATTAGAATATTTAAGTTACTTGAGAATGGAGAAAATAAAAATTATCAATACATTGTATTTTTTACTCTAAATTGATTTAAAGTAAAAATACAAAAATAATTTGTACTTAAAAAGTATTGCCATTAGAATATTTAAGTTACTTGAGAATGGAGAAAATAAAGATTATCAATAAATTGTATTTTTTACTCTAAATTGATTTAAAGTAAAAATACAAAAATAATTGTACTTATTAATTTGAATAAATAATATTTTTTAGTACTTCGTAATGCAAAAAGTTTAAAGTCAAAGTAAAAAATTGATTATACTTAAAATATAAATGAAAATACAAGTACGAAGTATTTTTTAACGGGACCGACTGAAAATAAAAAACAAAATCTAATTAATAATTATAAATACTATATATACGGGGTCGGTTGTTTGGTTTGGGTTGGTTTCGAAGCGGGCGGACTCGGGACGTTAGTTAAGGAAAAAATATCTGCTTCCCGTCCTAAGATTGCGTCATTGGATGACGTCACTCTGTTAACGGGAGCGCAATAGGGAACCGTCTGACGGGACTCTAGACACGGCGTTAATTTTATCATTATTATGTTAACATAACCTTATAATAATTTTACATATTTTTGTAGTTTGCCTGAAGATGATCTAATATAGATCGAAACTAGTCGCAATAAAAACATAAACAAGCACGGAAGTATCCTTATTCACCATTCTATTCAAATAAAAAAAAAATATATATATATATAATGTATTCTGTTCTTTATTATTTTTTAATTATAAAATAAAAAAATATTTAGAATCAGTAAACATTTTAAGTTAAAATAAAAAGTACTTGATATTTTCTCTGATTATAATTACAAAATAAAAAAAATTGTAATTATCAAATTATCAAATAAAATAAAAAAATATTTAGAATCAGTAAACATTTTAAGTTAAAATAAAAAGTACTTGATATTTTCTCTGATTATAATTACAAAATAAAAAAAGAATTGTAATTATCAAATTGGTAAAGTAAAAATAAAAAGTACTCAATATTTTTCTCTCATTACAATTATAAAATCAAGTAATACTTAGGAATGATAGCATAATCCATTAAAAAAAATACTCAGTACTCCCAACTCTGGCTGTATCTTCGTTAAAAATGGTCGTATTGGAGCCGTAAAAAAAGCAATTCAAAGCTTGTTTCTAGTTTTGAGATTTTTAGATGAAAAACGTGCAACGCTCAATCCTAACGAAAACAGTAATAAAAAAATTCGAATTTTTTTTGGCTTTTTTTTGGTCCACGGAATGTTCTGACCACCAATAAATAAATGTTCTACAAGAATTTGCTATCTACATGAATTTGAAAAATCATGAAAAAAAGTGCTTTTGGTAGCTTTTTGAAAAATCAAGCGCTGAATCAAAAATATTATAGGTAATTTTAGTCCACGAACTGGACTGGAAACATAAAAAATTAGGCAAATGGGACTAATCTTGAAAAAAAACCATTTGAAAAAAAAAACAATGAAAAAAAACCTGAAAAAAAACATACTTAAAATCAGGTCTAAAATCCTAGGCACAAAAATTGTCCACTTAAATAGGCTCTGTGAATATTAATAGCTATTCACGGAGTTTATTTAAGTGGTACACGTAGTACCCAATTTTGGTTGATTGCATTGCTATGTTGCCAATTTTTATTTGATTGCATTGAAATTTTATCAGTATAAAGAAGATAAATAGAGCTAAAAATAGGGTAAATTTTATTTAAATCGGGAAAAAATTGATCATGCTGTATCACTTTGAATTTTAAAAATTTCCGAATTTTGGCTAAAAAATCGATTTTCTTTCGATGAAAGCAAGATTTTTAAAGAGAACACCATTATCAATGAATATGGTATTTTTTGTTAAGTTTAATAGCAACATTACCAACTATCCTTGCTTAAATTAGAAGTTTAAAAAAATATATTTAAGCATTTGAATATGCGCAAATAAAAAAAATGGTTTTTTGTTACATCGCAAAAACAAGAGCTGATTGAGCAAAATGATGGTCATTCGGCGTACTCAAATTACCCTAAAAAAGTTGTTGTCTACCCTGCACCAAAATGGCTGTCGGCCAGTGTAATGGGAAAAATAACAAACCAACAAAAAAACTGAGTGTGACCTGATTTTGGGGAGACATTGCACAGTGTGTGAAATTAATGATCTAGCTAGACAAAACCTTAATGACATAAAAAATTATAAATTTTCTCTGTAAACGGGGAATTTGGGTCCACTGAATCCAAATCTGACATCCAAAATGCAGAAATTAAATTCGTTCATTACGAAATGGCCGGCGCATTGCAATAAAAAACAAACTTTCGGTTTCGTCGAAAATTGGTCAACTTTCGTTTTTCCAAAGAAACACCCTGTATATTTTTGTATATTTGAAATCTGGAGAAAATTTTGAATCTGATAGATGCACATTCGCTACCATTTTGCAATTGACCTTAAAGTTTTATTTTTTAATCCAGGAAGCTGCAATTTGAAGAATCAATTATTTTTACCATCCAAATTTGCAATTAAATGCATAAATAGTAAATGTTGCAGATCAATTGTTTTTTTTTAATTAACTCAACTTTTTAAATACCATACAAATGTTTTTAAAAATCCATATGTTTTTCTCAATCAAAACTCACCAATGTCATAAAAAGTTGTTTAGTGTTTTCCACTAAAATTACACTTATGGAAAACTTAAATTACAACAAAAATTAAGATAATTTTAAAAATCCCGCGATAGTGTAAGTATTGAATTCAAAATTTTCTCCTGATTTGAAATATACAAAAATATGCAGAGTATTTTATTGAGAAAACGAAAGTTGGCATTATTTCCGGGGAAACCGGATACCGGGTGGTAACCATTGAAGGTTGAAATAATTATAAATTAACTCTTTATTATTACTCCCAAATTTCAACTCTATTCCAAAATTTACTAGTGGAGAAGGAGTGCGTCGGTTTTTGGTTACACCCTGTAGAACAGGCAAATTGGGGCAATAAATAAAGGCACATCAGTAATCTGTAGACGTTATAAAACAAAACAAATATTGATAGTGCACCCGATATTCCTCGATTACCATACTTCTTGCTTAATAAATATTGTCCATATTTAATAACACCAAGTGAATTTCTATATCTATAGCCTGTTGCTGATTATTGATATTATAAATCCCTAATAAGTAATATATACCTAGATCCATAGCTGCACAGTTCAAAATTTGATTTAACTTGACACAATGTCAAAATCAAACCACCTTTTTGCAACGCATACACGGCTAAGTATGTTTATAAAAAATGATACGCCCGGAACTGGCGCCTGCATAGTGCTAAATACACTGTTGCAGTAGGCTCTAAGTAATGGAAATCATAACAGGGAGAACTGAAGAAGCTTATTTAATAAAATTTGTCTTTATTTCAGGTTGTTTTTAAATTAGGTTTTGTCTAGCTAGATAATTAATTTAACACACTGTGCATTGTAAGGAAATAAAAATTGTTTTGCAAGGACCATGGACACGACAGATTCTAGAGAAAACAGAGTGAAAGCGGTTGTCTTACCGATGCGTTGTAGACCATGTGCACGCCCTGGAAGACGATGTTCTTGGCGTAGTCGCCCAAAAAGTCGAGGATGTGCTCGACCTGCGCCTCGTACGGCAGCCCCCTCAGCCTGATGCAGTCCTTCCTCGTGCCCGACGTGATGATGTGCTGCGGCAGCAGCGGCACCTGCGGCAGCTGCGCGATCAGCGGCGACGGCGTCTCGTACGTCTTCGGGTCCATCGACCGGTTCAGAACCTGCTGCACCTCGGCCGTGGTGGACCTGAACAGCTCGATGTAGCGCGAGCCGATCGACTCCCTGTGCTTCGAGAGGGCCTTGGGCGCGTCGGTCTCCTGCGCGAACAGGACGAACGCGTCGCCGGTGGCCCTGCCGTCGGGCTTCCTCACGAACAGGACCCCCTCGTTTCCGTCGACGACGGCGCACGAGTTCTCCCCGGACGCGAAGAAGTCCAGCACCTGTAATTTCGAGTGAATTACTGATAACTAAAGACCGGATTTTAAGCATGATGCTTATTGCTTAATTTTTTGCTTTTTTTAAGGTTTTATGCTTTTTTTCGATTTCGTGCTTATTTAACTTTTTTTCATATTTTTATACATTTTTTTAAATTAATTGTTTCGACTTTTACTTGATGAAACTCCATGTTAATAATATGTTAATATAAACTACACTGTTTAATTCTTCAAAATCTTACATATAGAAAACAAAAGTATGAAACTAAATTTATTAGAGTCTATGGAAATTAACAAATTAAAGGAAAAAAACTGATATTATTCTCAATGACCAAATTGATACCAATAATTCCCCGTTATTAAATTTATTTTAATATATTCAAATAGTTTAGTGTTATATAACTATAAAGATTACAGGGCATTCCCATAATTATTGTTCCTTTAATCTACCCCCAATATTGTACTAAAAATGTTACCTGTTAAAACCATCATTTATATAAATAGTAAATTAATATAAGTTAGTATTCGATCTGAAGAAGCTACTGTGTAGCGTGCTTTTTAATGTTTAGTTAAGATACACGATACGCTACGGGGTTCTATTATTGTGCTTGCGCTTTATTTGCTGTACGTGGTAATTATTTAGACAATGCCAAAACAAAAGCCAACCATTGAAGAGTGGATTAGTGGTTACAAGGAACTAAAAATTGACAATAAAAAGGTCTTTTGTCAAGCATGTTCTAAAACTATAAGTAAAATTATAGTATTTATTTATTGCTAAAAATTACTGCTTTTATTTTATGGTTTTGAAGAGATTTCCTTTTTGACTTAAATTGAATTACTTTAAGGTATAAATGAAAATTTTAAGGATGAAATAAAATAAATTGAATAAAATACAACTTTTAATTTCTAAAATATTATTCGACTTTACATTCTACTTTCTCAACCCAATACTGTAATGGTTTCCTTTCAATAAAAAGCCGCCTAGATAGTGTTTTTTTATTTTAATCAATCTAGTATGGGATTATTTTTTTTAAATATTCCGATTTTGAAATGGATCCAGCCATTATCCCGAAATTTAAATATGCACCAATGACCAGTGTGGATGTGGAGCGAAGTTTTTCTGCATACAAAAACATTTTAACAGACAGAAGACATAATTTTACTATAGAAAATTTGGAGAAACATCTAGTTATACATTCCTTTAGGTCTTAATAATAGATATAATGTAAAAATAATAAAATGTATCATTTAAATAATAAACACCAATATTAAGATTATTACAACTTTTTGCCCCTATATATTAATTATTTTTAATTAACTTGCTTATTTGGTGCTTTTTTGGCAAATTTCATGCTTTTTAAGAGCTTTTTATTTAATATTTTGATACTTTTTTAAGCACTTTTTTTTTTTAAATTGTGCTTATTTATCCGGTCTCTACTGATAACTATCAGTAAATGGGCAAATTTTCGTTAAATGTACATTTGCTGTCCCCAGCTAATTTTATTTTTATTTTTGACCTTTGTTGATAAGTTTTGTATTTATTATATTTAAATAAATAGGAAGGGGCTGTTAGGACCCATCGTATTTTGTTTTTTAATTACTTTGTGTTTCTATATATGGCAGGTGAAATGTCCTGTAACCTAACTGTCCCCAGAGGCGATTTTTTAATTTAAATTATTATATTCTTCTTCTTTGCAGGTTTCTTCTGAAAAAATAAATTATTTTTGAACAATGGAAAGTTCTTTTATTCGTATATAAAAATAAAATAGTTTTCTACAAAGTAGTTTAAACAGAAAAAAATATTAAAGTTGACATTCAAAAATCTTGTCTTTTTCCTAACGTCGTCTTCTATGCCGACTGCTTCGAAATAGAGACACGAGATAGAGATACTATCGTGTTATTTCTAGAGGGCATACATGTTTGATAGTTCGGCAACAACAAGTGAGCACGTGTAAAGTGTGTGAATTTTTTTATAAATATTTTAAAGGTAAGATTTTTTTGCGTACACTTTTACATAACGCTACATGAAACTCTTGTTTTAGAAGTTAACTTTTTTATTTTCATTTTGTATTATAGCATAGTAGAAATTCCAAACAAATGCCGAAATATATTTACATTTAACAGTATTTCTGAAAAATAACGTTTGAAAAAGTCAAAAGCAATGTGTCATAAAACGTTCAGGAAGATGCGTTAGGAGGAGGACAATGTTTAATTTCTTCCTTGTGTTCCTTCCCTATTTCAGATTAACCCTATAAGTTTTATTTCTTTAAAGTTTATTTTTGTTATTTATAAACTTATAGAAATTTTTTGCAGTATATTACACTGTTCTATCACAAAAGAAAAAAAATCGATCAAATTGACCTGCCTGGACAAAATATATATACAAAATGTACATTTAACGAAAATTCGCCCAAATATCAATAACCTCTTCGAAGCGGGATATTCGAAAAGTTATTCAATTTTGGTAAGGAAGCAGGAAAAGGTATTCAAATAATTATAGTAAGAGATTGTCCACTTGTACTTTGTTGGAAAAATTGCAAAGTAGTTTGGTTTTTTTTTAAGAAGTGCATGTTTTAACGTCAGAAAACAACACTGTTTAAAAACGAGACAAAATCACTCGTTTAGAGTTAAAGCAATCTAGAAAGTTTCGAGGTTCTGGTAGAATTTGTACTGTAGAAACTTTATTGATAAGTTATAATTAAGGTTATAAAAACTCGGAGATACCAAAAAAATGCAAAATAACCAGATGTATCTGGGAAGTTTAAAAGTTTTCTCATAAATGGAGCTAGTTATTAACTAGCTCAATCTATAAGACAACTTAAAATACTGGGTCGGTAAGTCAGGAATTGATTTTTGGGTAATATGCATTTTATTATTTTCCGACAAAGTAAGGTTTTTACAGTTATCTTAAAAATTTCTTCAAGTAGAAATATTACTATCAGTATCAACACCCCTTACTGATACTTATTGATATTTGTACTTCCTGAATCAGTGCTGCCAGATTGAAAACTTGAATTTCCCCCAAAGGTTGCAGCTAAAAACCCCAAAATACCCCAAATAGAAAATCACGGAAACGATTTTTTTAAATTGGCTTTGACAATGTCTTTGTCAATTTTTACGATTACATACACTGAAAAAAAAATGTAAATAACAATATATAAGTAAATATGCCCCAAACGCTACATTGGTTTTATTTACCACAACTAAATTGTCATGGTAAATATTAAATATTTATAATCACATGTAGCATTTGGGAAATATACAACCACAAAAACTGTTATTTTTACCACATTTTTTTCTTAGTGCAGGTTTTAATAAAAAAACCAAATTGTTTAGATAATTATTATTTATTATTATAAAAATATTTCCCATTACCACAACTTTGAAACTAGCACTTTTTTGTTTGGTTCAAACATCAAAATTTCATTATATTTTCCAACTCCTTGCTTAGCATACAGAAGGGAAGCAATGGTTTCAGTATTTAAAAAATTTGTTTTTGTTTTTTTTTTCAGATCACAATTACAATTACAGTATAAATTTAAATATAACAAAAAAAACACAACAAAGTGATTCTTTGTGATTTACTGAATTCTACTTTTAAGAAAGTTCTGCCAACTTCTTACGAAAAAAACACCGTTTTATATTGGTTGCCTAATGTCATGAGGTAAAACCACTGAACTATATAGTATTGTATAGTTCAGTGGGTAAAACTTCCAAGAAACATTAGGCAACCAAAATGACAGTGTTTTGGTTTATAAAAAGTAGGCAAAACTTGCTGTCAAATAATAAAACCAAAGAATAATCCTATAATAATTATTAAGTATTGTGTTTGAAGTAGTGTTATTAAAATTTAACTAGATAATCCACATAAACATAAAAAAATTCTGGAAATTCCGAAAAAACCCCATAATACCCCAAAATGAGCTTTACCCCAAAATTTCCCCAAAGCAAGATGAAATCCCCCATTTTGGGGTAAAAACCCCAAATCTGGCAGCAGTTATCAGGAATCCTCATAACTATCAGTACTCTCTTAAAATGAATTAGTCAAAAATAACTAATTATAAGTCTCTTAAAATGAATTAGTCAAAATTAACTAATTATAAGTCATATTTGACTAATTGTCATAGTGAAAAAGCAGTCAAATTCCACTGAATGAAATAGTCAAATTAGTAAATTTAAATTTAAAAAAAGTTTTGACCCAGCCTGGGATTGAACTCAGGTCTGTCACTTGACAAGTTTGTCAAGCTAACCTCTTAACGCATTCGGCTGTCAGCCGCTCTTATAAAAATTAATTTTATTTGTCAATAAATATTGTTCATAATATTTTAAAGTTTAATATATTATTTGTGTTGCTATTTTGAGCTAAACTTTTTGCATCTTTATTTGTTTTATGGGTCATTTAACCATGGAGAGGTATATGCATTTAATTCAAATAATACTTTGTTGTTGGCCGTAAACGACTAAAGAAATTAGTTACTTTTAACTGTCAGAAATAGTCAAATAAGGTGACTAATCTTAAATTAGTCAAACTTTTACTATTTACATAGTAAAAAATAACTATTTAAAAGTGAAAACGACCATTTTATTAGTAAAAAATGCTGGTACTAATTCAAATAGTAGAATTTTGACTATTTCATTTTTAGAGTAATATTACTGATAGTTTTCCCATCCGTACCTGCTTGGCCGTGCAGTCGTAGGGCAGGCCGCGCATGCGCACTATGACGGCCGCGCCTCTCGACAGGAAGGCCTGCGCCTCGCAGCTGGAACCGCCGGCCACGCTGAGGAAGTCGTCTCCGCTGGCGCGGTACACTTCGATGTACCTGGTGCCGATGTGGTGCTTGTGCCTTTTCAGCGCCATGTCTCTGTGCTCCTGCGACGAAAATCTAACCAGAGCTTCACCGTTTCGTCTGCCTTGGGCCGATAGGCAAAGCGCTACTCCACCCCTGAAACGAAGTTAACAAATCTAGTTTTACAAGGTTCCAAAATTAGCAGATAAAACTTAAACATAAAGTAAAGGAGAAAGTGAATAGAAAATTTTTGGGTTCACAATACCAAAACTATAAAAAATCAAGCTTCGACAACTAGAAATTAAGGATTGCTACAGTTCAAGTTAATATACTACCGGGCAGAGCTGGGAACGTTAATTCTGGAAAGTATCTAGTTACTTTTCTAGGATACTTTAAACAAAATAACTTATAGTCCTGGAGCATAAAGCAATAAAATATTCTTCGTGGGATTTGTTATGAAGGGATGATGGGATAGCTTTTTTATACCTTTTTGAGTTGTGTGGTAGGTACCGGGTGTTTACCTTGAAAATATGTCTGGTGGTGTTTATGACATTTCTAATCCAAAATGTCCACCATTTTCGACATTCATTTATAAAATGCCAAATAATTAATTTTATTCCCTGATAGCACAGTTTATTCTAAGAATGTTTTTTAAACCTTCCAGTGGGAATATTCTTAGGATCATGCTATATTTCTTCTAGTCATGTTCTAAGAATGTTTTTTAAACCTTCCAGTGAGAATATTCTTAGGATCATGCTATATTTCTTCTAAAGAACATGCTTAAAAGAAATATAGCATAATCCTAAGAATATTTTCACTGGCCTATAGGCAGGTTCTTAGAAGGTGCAAAGTTTAGTGGTAAAAATTAATCCACTCTAAACATATGCTTAGAATGTTGAGAAAGTAATTGCTATAGAAAGTTCATTTAGGTATTCCTGGGACATTCTGTTAAGCATATTCAGTTCAGTTAGGTACCTACATAATAGTAAAATATACCATAATCTACGTATAAAGGTACCTATACTTAGTATTAAATACTAAGTAAAAAACACAACCCAAAATATTTTTTATAGTTATTTGTCAAATTAAAACAATATTCGATAACAAAAATACTTTTACTATAGGTATCTAAATTATCCGGCTTTTACATAAAATCTTCTATCCAACTTAAATACAATGAAAAATGTTTTTTTTATGAAGAACTATTTGGTTTTTTCTTTTATGAAGAATTATTTTATAAGGAAATATTTTGTTTTTTTATATTTTATTTTATGTTAAAAATATATATAAGAATTAACATTTTTATGTATAATAATCCTACCTATTTTCAACTTCAATCTAATCTGACTTATGCCACAAAATTTTCCAATTTTACTTTTTATGAAATGTCATACAACTTATGGTTTAGAGGTCAAATTGTTTATTTAATATTTTTAAATAAATATATATTAATATGTCGCAAATTTTTTTAAGGGGACGACAAATATATTTCACTGTCATATTATGACAGTGAGGCCTATTTGTCGCCTCCTGAAGAATTTTACGAGTGTAGAATCCAACATATTAGAACGTGGGTATCTGACATATTTGGAAATATTCTCAAAAGCTTCCTAGAAGCTCCATAAGAAACCTTCTAAGAACATTCCAAAAACGTATTCTTAAAATGTTCTTAGAATGCTTTTTAGGAAGGTTTTAAGAAGCTTCTAATAATCTAATTGCATCATTAAAAGGGTATCTATTGAATGTTTTAAAAGTCCCTAAGAACATTCTTAGCAATAAGTGAAGGTTCTAAGAATATTCCATTATTCCGGGTCATATCTTCTTAGAAGATTCTTAGAATCAAATTTTGCTATCAGGGTTGTGCCCTTTGAAATAAATTACATTTGACATTTTTTGATTGTCATATGACCGTGTATCGAAACAATTGTATAATTTTATGGGCCGTCAAATTTGATGGCCCATCAATTTTTTTAGTCTCTAGCAACAGTGACTTTTTTCAAATAAAACTTTTTAGCAAATTTAAGTAGTTTCATTGGTTGCTTATAAATTAAGTGTGCCTTGACTTTATCAATTTTTGTTTACATAGAACTGTCAAAAGTATTTTACGATTTTAATACTTTTTTGCTGTTTTTCTTCTAAATACTTAATTTTAACAGTTTTCTTTTAAAATATTTACTATTACCTATTTAATTTCCATTTTCTGTTAATTATAATTTATTACCCAGTTTTACAAGGAAAAATAGAAACTTTATTTTAAATTTTTAGGGTGATTTTGGTGCGCTAAACACAAAAAACTTAATCATTTTTTTCTTATTTGGGCCATTCACCTAGATGACGGTATATTTTTGTTTTTTAATTTAAGATTTTACTTAAATCAGCATCGAGAGGGTATGGCAAATCCGATATATGGTTTGAAAGATGGTTAAATTTCGCATCCAACGGTAAAAACATCGTTTTAATCTAATCAAAAATAGCTGAGTTACAGCTCATAAAAGTTCAATTTTTTTGCAAAATGGCTCCAAATCGATCCATGCAAAATATAAAAATATAACAATATGTCACTTTTAAAAGCCAATATTTTCTTAACCATTTGAGATAAAAAAAAATGTTAAATCATTTTTTCCTTTTTTATGGTTATTTTAAGAGATTATATAATTTTTAATAGGACCACTAAATATGAAATTATGCGACATTTTATAAACGCATACCTGAAATAACAGTTAGATATCGGATTAATGACGTCATAAAAAATTGACACATATTTAAACAAAACACCCACTACTGCCTTGTGTATAAAAAATTGATTTCAGATAGTTTCATCTTCCCTTCACAAAAAATCTCACGGGATGCACTATGCTCCAAAACTATTAGTTACCTCTGGTAACTAGATAATTTGAGTTAAAAGTATCTTTAGTTACAAGATAATAATAATATATACTATATGAAAGTATCTAAGATACTTTTGAGTAACTAAGATACTTTTAAGTAACTAAAATACTTTTGAGTAACTAAGTTACTTTTAAGTATGAATAAAAACTATAAATTATAAAAATTCAACAAGTTGTAGGTTAGGTAAATACTTTGAATCATTCTGGAATTCCCCCAATATTCTCTAAGAAAGTATCTAAGTTACTTTAAAAAGTATCTTAGTTACTTTAAAAAGTATCTTAGCTACCGGGTTTTTTAAAGTGTTACAAGGGGATATTTCGAAAACGGTTTAAAAATTTTTTGTAAACATTTGGTAAACTAATAAAAAAAGTGGGGAAACATTTAAACATACTTTTGACATCTACCCCCTTTCCCTATTTTAAGGGGCGGGGGGTAACTTTGGATTTTTAATAGGGATGATGTACTTTTTTTAAATTCGAATCTACGAAAAAACTAGGTATGTGTTTTTCGGTTACTAAATAATGATTTAAGTATTGGATTCTAAAAAATATTAACAAATTTTAACTAATTTATCATGAATTTCGTACACTTTTTTGAAATTCTGTTAAATATTGTTTATTATACTAAACCTGACTGGTGCCCAGATAGCACAAGAGGTACCCAGGACGTCCATTTCGGGTCCCACATAGGTCCGAACGTCCTAGACCTATATCGGAAGTTTTGGGTACGTCCAGTTTCTTACTTATTTGGGAAAATTATAGCGGATATACTGGGTACGTCCCAAGGACGTATTATTAACTCTTTAAGACGTCAAAATGGAAACGTCACATTTATGACATTTTAATGCGATTCTTTCTTCTCACCGCTGTAACTGTTTGTGTTTGATATAAGAAGCGGCGAAGTAAAATTTAGAGCGTGCTTCATACCAAACGGTCTTAGACCTAGGTAAACGGCTACCCGATACTGACGAGCTCCAAAAGAGGGAAACAGGCCGTCTATCGGTGCCGGTGAAGAGCACGCTTAAATTTAAACAAAAGTGAGACAAAGTAATCGCAATTCCTAAAATAAGCGAATACGAGCAAATTATTAAAATGATTTTAATAAAATCCATTTAACAAATTAATAAAATAAGACTTAATTAAGGCGTCATATTGCTGTCTGGGCCTTTGGGAATACCACTCTTCAATTCTGTAAAGCTTGTCCATTAGCCCCCAATAAAGCATTTCAGGATGGCCAGAGGATGTCTTACTTAGGACGTTCTGGGGACCGACGATTTGGTAACATCGGATGTCCCTGGAACGTCCTGGGGAAGGTTCAGGACCTGATTCGGACGTACTCGGAACTTACTAATGTCTGATACAAGATATACTCAGGACGTTTTTAGTACTTCTTTGTGCTATCTGGGTGTTTACCATCCACTTAAAAAAATACATTTATAGGAAGTTTAAAAAAAAGTATAAATTAATATTTGTTTAAAAAACTAAGGTATAAAAGAAAAACAATAAATTATAATTTATAAAAAATAAAAGATAAACAAGAGGAACATTTATAAAAACAAACATTGTAAAAATGTCTGTCATCTGGGTTAAAAAAAATTGAACAGAAACGAAACTAACTAAAAATCCGTTTGTTTTGTTTTATAACTTGCAAATGTTGCAGCAGTATAGTGTATTTTTTTAAGGGACTTAAAAACCAAAAAAATATTTTTTTCATTCCATACAGACTAAATGAATGAAGCAAATCGCTTACCATCGGTATTGTATAAAAAAAGAATATTTTTTTTCTCGTCTCTTGTGAAAATATGTTGGTTTGTCATGTTTTAAGAGCCCTGTCAAAAGATGAGCTCGATTAAAAAATTTTTAGGGGTCGCTCAAGATTTTTGAAAATTTCCAAAATCGTCAAACATTGAATTTTTTTTTAATTTAATTTTTTTTCTCGTTCCGATATTATTTTTTAATTTGAAAATAATAAAGATTCTGAAATTTTCAAATCTATATTTTGATTTCTAAAGGTTGCTCAAGATTTTTTAAACTTTCAAAGTAGAGTTGTTTGTTGTATTATGTTTTCGAGCGACCTCTGAATATAAATATTAACGAACTTTTAGCGACCTTTACAAATCAAAATATCGATTTGAAAGTTACAGAATTTTTATTATTCTATTGTATACTATACCTATAATAGTATAAAAAATACGGCAACCAAAAACTTCCACACATACTGCTTATTCTCTATATTTTGTACAGATGACCTTGTTTCCTTTTTTGGTAAATTTGCCGATGCCGTATTATTTTACCTTAAGCGCATAGTCAGTTCATAAGTGGGGGATTTAAAATATATTATACCATAGACATATTAATATGTCCATGCATGATACGCATTGTCAACTAAATAAAAATTAGGTTGTATCAATGTTTTTTAAATCATTTGCTTACATGGCCTAGGTTAATCTTACATCAATTTTTGTGGTTTGGCTTTATAAAAAGCAAAAATTGGCACAACATGTAAAAGCCACTAAAATTTCGTAAACACAATGTAAAAAACAATGCCAAAACAATTGGTAAACAACAGAAAACAAACAAAATGGTTAATTATAAAAACATCTACATATTAATACGTCTATGATAAAACCTTTTGACTATCGTGGTCAAAATACGACGTTGCCAAATTCTTGCTGTTATAAACATGCCATAAAATCTAAAATATCAACATTTTGCGTGATTATTATTGTAACATGCATTTTTTCATAAAATGTATAGGTATATAATTTATTAAAAAGTATTTATTATAAAATAGGTACAAAAATATGGTATTTTTTAAACCCTACCTCTGACCCTACTTTAACCCCACGAAAAGGAAACAGTCTTAGTTAGAAATGATTTGTATATGTGTAGAAGTATGTGACGGCTCAATGTAGTACTACTGTACGTACAGTGCCCTTCATGACAAAAAAACTTGTTTACAATATTAAAAACCTTTATATAAACCAAATATTTAACCAGTCATACAAAACGTATACTTACGGCCCCGAGGGAAAATCCAAAAATAAATATTTGCGTATTATCCTACATGAAAACTCACTTTTCAATGTTCAATGAAAACATGGTCAAACAAAAACAATATAAACTCCTTAATCGCTTTGTACAGGCGAAAATAAAATGTAACTCTTGCAGTCAACATATTAATGCTACCTAGTAGTAGCAACTGAACTATTTCCAAGTGGCACTGATAACAAAATTTTGTATCTAATTTTTTATCCATTTGTATTACCTGAATATTGCAAGGTCACAAGACTAAATTTAAATAGAAGAAAGTAGTTAAAAAAGTGTTCCTCTTTGTATTAATTTTGGAAAGGTCATTTGTTTTGTTAATGTTGATATATATTATTAATAAATTGTGGTTGTTAACTAACACATGTACATTTGTTACGAACAAAGTTCACGATTTAAAATAAGAACATTACCAATTAACGTTAAAATATTCATTTAATTAATACATTTTAATTAGGTCATTTATTGAGGTAAAAAACCAATACCAAAATATTTGTTCGCCATTAATTTTTTATGTTAAATTACGTAAATTTATTTAATTTGGATTTAAATTTTGATAAGAACATCATCTATTTAAAAATAAAAATTACTGATGTTTTGTAATAGCAAATTCAAAACATTTAAACTTATAAACAAAATAAAATCAGCTTATTTTAAAGTTTTATTAATAGGTTGACATGTTCGGCAAATGAATTTTCTTACAGTTGGAGTCAAAAAATCAAAACTTTATTATTATTAATTTAGATTTCTTATTTTAAAACTATATGTATATATTTGCATGACTTAATTAAGCTTTATACATTATACATTTTTAGCTCTAATTTGGAAAATAAAGGAACTTAAAATTTAAAAAATTAAAATAAAAAATATTGTTCCGGTTTATGGTTTTAAATTAAATGAAATTTCAATGAAAACAATTGTTTATAAAATATGTTTAGTTATGTAGACGTAAGGTATATTGTTTTAAACTCGTAAATAATGTTAATTTTTGATTAGGCACGTTATATAACATGCAATAAACATATTTCTTTTATGTATGTATGTATTTTAACTTATTTATGAAATAAAATCAATACCGAAAGTAAAAAAAATTAAGCTACTTCCAAATACATTTTGTGTATAAAATATTAAAAGCCCCCAATCGGCTTTTTATTTTAAACAAAAAAAAATCGGTTTCTCATCCTTTTAAATAAAACGTAAGTAACAAAAATAGGGTTTTGTACAAAGTTGGATATAAAGCTTTTCAACAGTAAAAACCACAAAAGGTGAAATTGTAGTTTGTGGCCATGGAAAAAAGTTTTAAGTAGTTTATTGGAAAATTATGTTACTTCGGACATTTTGGTTTAATTGATTCTTGCCAGTTGTAAAATATTTATAAAGTCAAATATAATATAATATACACTCACAGGCAAAATAATCGATCCACACAAATTTTTGATGAATTTCAATCGCAAATAACTTTTTTATTTGATGTCGGATTTAAAAGAATATTGTAGATAAATTAATGGACATTGTCCATTGGACAATCGCTCACATTTTAAAAAATTACAAAAAACAATTTGATAGCTTTTGAAAGCTGTATATGACATGTCCAAGTATGGGATGATTAAACAAAACTGTCACTGTCATCCTCCATAGGCTATGGATGGACCATAGCAACCTTAGTTCTTTATACAGGAAAAATATTGGAAATTGCAATCGAGGTGAACCAAAAACAAAACTGATAAAAATAGATGTGACTTGATAATTAAAACTTAATTTAGAACAATATACGGTTTTGCCACTCTACAGAGTGTCTTAAACTTATGGTAAAAAAACATCTTTTTGTTTAAACCTGTATATTATAAACGTACGTCTATTTTTTAGTAATTTTTAAAATGTGAGCGATTCTCCATTAATGTATCTACAATATTCTTTAATATTTGTTTAAATCCGAAAACAAATAAAAAAGTTATTTGCGTTTGAAATTCATCGAAAATTTGTGTGGATCGATTTGCCTTTGAGTGTATATCACATTGTGATATATATTATATAATATTTTATTATAATGGGTGCATTCGATTAAATATTACAAGAACACTTTACAAGTGAATATTTAAAAAAAAATGTTGCAAAAAACGAGGAGTTGTGTGTTCCGAAAACATACTAATGAATTTATGCTTTTTTTTAATTTTAGGCGTTTAATAATTCTGTACTTACATTAAAACTATCGAGTTTGCGACATTTTGTCAAGTTTAATGTTTGACAATTGTTATATGATAGGTTATGTACATGAATTTATTCTACAGTGACCTGAAAGTCTACATTTTTATTGTTTTATATAACTTTTAGTAACATAATATATTATATAGAATAGGTACAACTTTATCAAAAATTTGATTTTAACAGATTTGAAGTTTGCAAAATAAATTTTAAGTATAAATAAACTAGGACATACGTTTTCCAAGGCATATCTGACTTAAATTTCTTTCATAATTTTCTTGTAATATATACAAAACCAAATAATTACATATTTAGCCAAACAAAAAAAATAATAAAAAATGTACTTACTTTGCAACATTTAAACCTCTAAAAAATTTCGCTATATCTTGATCACTACTCTGCCAAGGAAGTCCCCTAGCTCTAACTACGCAGTTATTGTCTATTTCATCGTCTTTTGAGCTGAAAATCAAAAACAAAAATAAATTATTAAAAACATGTAAACAAACATTAAATTATGAGTTTTATATGGAACTGTTATCAATTTTAGATAACAAATAAACTTATGATGGTGTAAAGATCTTAAGTTTATAACGCACGATTCGTAAATACACCACAGTTTTTTTAAATTTTAATAAACAAATAATAAAACGAGCTGGCAACAGCGCATTTATATAATTCTTTTGTGACTTTGATACAAGTGTCAAGCTCATTTTGACATATTTTCTGAAAATATTAATAGTATATTATGTATAAAGTTTGATAAACGCCATTTAATACACGAATTTAATTTAGGCACGAGCGAGCTTGCGAGCGAGTGCTTAAATTAATGAGTGTATAGAAAAGTTTATAAACGAGAAGCATACTATACTTTTTCTACGACAAATACTTATTATTATCTTAAAATGATTTAAATCAAAAATTTGCATAGAGCGCCATCTAGGAAGCAACAGGGGAAACTGTCAAATGTCACATTTTTACATTTTATAAACACAATTATAAAGGTTATAAACAGGGCCGGCGTTAGCTTATTAGAGGCCAGGTGCAAAAGAAAAATGCGGGGCTTGAACTTAAAATAAAAATTTACTCTTGAAAATTAACATAGCGCCTAGCGTGTTTCTGTAATATATTTATATAATAATAATACTATTCATTTATTTATTTCTATTACTCTGTCTGTTTATTTTTAATATTTTTTTTATTATTAAATTAAAAATGATATGGGTAAAAGACCCAACCCAAAAAACATGATTATTATTTACACTTATTATTTACACATAAAGTATGGGCCATACTATTAACAATTTCTGTACGTGGCTTTAACTTACCAATGTTTATTGTTTAATCACTCACAAAAAATAATATATTTGCATGAACAAAATACACAATCACAATACCACGATTACTTAACACTAATGCGCATAGAAACTATTTAGTTGATTTGTGATAACATCAGCCATTAATTTGATGACAAGACTTGTCACTTAGTGACAGACATGCGCAACAACTGTCTTTAGTATGCATCGCCATCTATTATCATTCCTTCCAGTGTGGCTAAATGTGTATTTGCAGTTGCCTGTATCCGTATGTCACAGATAATATCTGTTTCAAACGGATACAGGCAACTATAAATACACATTTAGCAACATTGGACGGAATGATAGTAGATGGCGATGCCTACAAAAGATATTATCTCTGGCATCGACCACATATTATGTTCAACATAATATGTTGTCGCGCGGCGCTTACCGGTTGCCAAAATGTACAATAATTTCGTCGAGACGCCTTGATGCCCGCGGGGCCTATAAAAGGCGGGGCCGGGTGCACCGCACCGTGTGCACATGCCTCACGCCGGCCCTGGTTATAAATCGAAATGTATATTGAAAATTGACAGTTTTTCACAGTGAAAGTAAAGGAAATGTTTTATGAGGACTTTACAGTAGAGTCCGTGCCCGAATTTAAGTTATAGTTTACTGCCGGCGAAATTAAAAGGTCAGTACAATGTTCATATAAACTTTTCAAATATTGGCGTAGAGAAACTATTTAATATTTTTGTATTTTTGTATTGAGATAATAAAATAATTTTCACATTTAGTATTATTTTACAAGAAAGGCACTTTATTTTAACGATTGTATGACATTTGACAACTGTCAACCAACTTAAAACTAACTTCAGCCCGTGACTAAAAACCTGTTGCTAACTTCAGCCCGTGACTAAAGCGCCGTAAAGCCACAACTTGTTAATGTTTATTTAAAAGGTTACTTAGTGTCATGGAAACATGTACGATAAAGGGCGTTTTAAAGGTGGGAGTAGAAAAAATATATTTTTTGTGTTATAAATGAAGATCATAAAAAACGTATGTCTTACAGCGCCACCTGGTGTTTTTCTCATAGTAGATTACTTTTTCTTTTAAAAATGGGCTTAGTATAAGACCATTGTCAAGAACCATCCTTCAAACGAATACTGTCAAAATTTCATATTGATCTGTCAACAAGTTTTGATTTTACAAGGCTTTTATACATGTAACTATATTTTGAAAATTCTAAAAAAATTTAAAATTTTTATAATTAAAACAAATTTTATGATTTTGGAAATTATCAATATTTTGAACATTTTGGAAACACAAAAATAACATTTTTTAAATGGAACATATTTTTACATATTTTAGAAGACAATTTAATTTGGAACGAAAAATTATTATTGCATAACTATCTGAAACTAAATAGTATATTATGTAACAAGTTTGATAATGGCCATTTTAGTCACGAATTTAATTGCCTAGAAAAGTTTATAAAAGAGTTGCATACTATACTTTTTTTGAAAAATACTTAATATTATCTAAAAAATAATTTAAATTAAATATTTGTATAAAGCGACATCTATACAAAAATAAAGTAAAATTGACAGTTGTATTTATTGGAGTTCCCGTTGGAATTTTTAACTTGGGAATCTACCGGCGTTAAAATCTCAATTTTTTCTGTGTATATCAAAATTTATCCTTTGAAAATAGACCAACAATCGATATAGAAGCAGTTTTTCGCAGTAAAAAAGAAGAGAATGTTTTATGGGCACTGTACGCAAAATTTTTAACGCTTAGAGAGTCGCTCTACCAGTTAAATTTAGTTAACTGCACTAATACGGCGAAATCAAAAGGTCAGTAAAAACGTTCATATCTTTTCAAATATTGGCGTCAAGAAACTATTTAATACTTTTGTATGTTTGCATTGAGATAATAAAATAATTTTCACATTTAGTATTATTTTACAAGAAAGGCACTTTATTTTAACGATTGTATGACATTTGCAACTGTCAACTAACTTAAAACTAACTTCAGCCCGTGACTAAAAACAGGTTGCTAACTTAAAAAAAATGTTGTTTTTTCTGTTTTCACCGTTTAAATGAGAAGAAAAAATGCCACCAATTTGGTAACATTTGTAAGCAGATAACAACCCTGTATAAGAGAACTGTATAATTAAGTCAATAAATTAGTGTCACTCTTTGACTATGTATTTGTATATTCCCATTGTTTTGATTGCCATTTTATCAGTATACACAAAGATTTATAAATTATTTCCATAATTGCATAGTTTTATTAGTAATATTTGAGTTATTTCCACAGAAATGTTAAAATTCATGATAAAATTTAAATAAGTGTACCAAATGCACGTGCTAACGGATGCAAGATAAAAGTGTCCAAAAATGTAAGAACTTGATACTTGACAATACGATTTATTAAACAATTTTTTATCGAAACATGCATTCTGAAATTTAAATAAATATAATATATTCATTGCATAATATCAAATACATACATACATACATAAATAAATAAGATAAGATATTTCGGAAACCAATGTTACTGTTAAAATAACATAACTTATCATGTTTTTTATTGCACCAACTTTTATGCAAAAAAAGTACCTACACGTGGTCCCAAACTTACCAAAAGTTTTATAAAGCAAAATCCTTAATAATTTTAATAAATATATAGGTAGTAGGTGTACCTACTCACTAAAACTATATCACAGTAAATTTCGAATATCGCAAAATTTTCGAAAAAATCTTATTCGGTACGCGACCACGTTGAGTTTAAGTCGACTAATGTGAGTTTCTTTGGGAGCAAAACACACTGATAGGAAAGAAAAAAACAAATTTAAGTCTCTATATCTGTCCTCGTCGGGCTAAAACGCATTTTTATCGAGTGCAAGTGAGCGAGACATACGTACCGTGTAGCGATTGCTTTATCAAAGAAACGATAGTGGGGTAAAACATGTCAAATACTATTGGTTTAGTTCAATAACTGATACGGTGTGTTCTCTCTTTTTCGATAACATAATCAAATAATTATTGTAACCTGCTTAGTTACCAAAAACTTAAGTTTTGGAACATTTTGAGGCCCGAATTATTTTTTATTTAGGAATTATTCTTATGTTTTAACACTAAAGTGATATTTTTAATTAGATAAAAACTATCATATAAGCATTTTTATTCTGCGAATTAAAAATATCATAGTAGATATTTAAAAATTAAATTAAATTTGTATGCCAAACTAATATTTTTAATTTAGTGAATTTAAAATATCTGTTTTTTAGTTAAAAACATACTTTTAATTCGCTAAAATATTATAGGAGAAATTTTTAAATGTATTAAAAATCATAGAAGATATTTTTAATTCATTTTAATTTTTATTTTTTAAAATAAGCAGATATTTTTAATTTAATGTGATATTTTAAATTTAGATTAAAAGTTTGGAAACTCCTGGTATTCCAAACTATTTCTGTCACTAGATGGCGGCATAATCACTGGAATCTACGACGTACGTGAGGGGTATCCCAACTCTCAATCAGTCGAAATTAAAAATATCACTTTCAATTAAAAATATCTGTTTATTTAATAAAATAAAAATTAAATCAAATTAAGAATATGTGTTTAGCAAAAAATACAAATATAAGCAAATATTTTAAAATATTCAAATAAAAAATATCAATTTGGCATTAAAATTTAATCGAATTTTTAATTAAGCGAATTAAAAATGTATGTTTAACAAAAAAATTCAAATATAAAAAAATTATGTGATATTTTTTATCTAATTAAAATCTATCACTCTAGGTAGTGTAAAAAATAAAACGGCACCAAATGTATCTAAAATTGTGATTTTAATCAAATGATGCAATAACGAAAAATTTTAAAAATGTAAATCGTATTTACGAGGTGTGTTCAGAAAATAACGGGAATTGTTAAATTTCGCGGGTTCGGAGGGTCCGGTTGTCATAAAATTTCCTTTATTATGTTGGTATAATAAAAACTTTAGCTGTTTTCATTGTTTACTTTGTCTGTGGCAGCTGCTAAGGTTAGACGTGTTTTATGAGCTCGGCGATTTTTCGTTCGTTAAAAGAAATGGATCAAAGAATTTGTATCCAATTTTGCTTAAAAAATGAAATAAATTCTGTGAAATGTTAACAAAGGCCTATTGTGATTCTGCTATAAGTAAAACAAGAGTTTACAAGTGGTATTTATACTCTTATAAGAGTTTCCAAGATGGCCGAGAAGACGTTGAAGATGACGAACGCCCCGAACGCACAAGCACATTAAAAACCGATAAAAACATGGAAAAAGTGGAAGAAATGGGTGTAAACCATCAGAGAAGTCGCTGAAGATGTTGGTATATCGATTGGTTCATCCCATGAAAATTTTTCGAATGTTTTGGGTATGAAACGCGTGGAAGCAAAATTTGTTCTAAAATTGTTAAATTTTGAACAACATTTTTGGCCAAAAACAATACTGTACGTTTTGCAAGCATAGATGACATTAAAAGCGCATCGCTGAAAGGCTATCCCACGGTCTTATATACAGGTCTTGCAACTTCGCCCAATTTCAATAGGAAAAAGTGACCTCTCTAATGAGACACCCACCAGATGGCGCATCGAGTTGAGGGTGAACCATAGATGTTTAAAGGTCGTTTTTACCTTCTTTATCTTTGGGTTTTACAATCGTTAGATAAGCTCTCTGGTGGATAATTTTCTTAGATAGAAGGTTTCTATGAAAGTTATCCGCCAAATAAGCTAACTTAATCTAACGATTGTAAAACCCGCTCTAAGTCCTTAAAGTCTATGGGATAAAAGGTTAAATGAACTACCTACTTATGTTCTGTGTTAAAAAACATAACCTACCTACATTTTTATAAACAAGCTTGTGTATTTTGTTACAGGGAGTTTTTACTTATTAATTAGATTAAAATAGCTGACAGTTTGGCTAGTTTATAAACTACCCAGCAACTTTATAAACTATCCATGTTTACACATTAGCCGTAACATATATATGATATACGTATGTATTTTATACATTAACATGTTTTACTTACATGTTTGGTCTGGGCATGTGACGGCCGAGGACTTTGTGCATAGAGTATAGACTTTGTTGTCCTATTTTGGTAACGTAAATTATCCGAAACAAACTCACAAATATTAAATTTTTGAAAATGTAAACAAAACATAGAAAAAGAATTTAAAAAGTTAGGTTATGGTTATGCAGTAGTTCCACATTTAACTAAGTAGTTCATTTAATTGACTTCACCCTTCGATCTTAGCGCCACCTAGCGGCTTGGCACGTTAAGGAAGCCACCTCGAAGCTTAAAGTTGCAAGACCTGTATATAAGATCGTGGGCTATCCCAAAGATCGAGTTTTAGAAGTGTTTCGAGTATTGGAAGAAGAGCTGGCACATGTGCATAATATCCAATGGGGACTGTTTTTGTATAGATGCCGTCTACACAAATATTTAAATTAATTGGTTAAAAATTATTTTTTACAATAATATTTGTTCTAGACGCTACTCGTTTATAGCTACGCTCGTGCCTAATTAAAATTCGCGACTAAAATAGTGTTTATCAAAGTTTATACATAATATAATATTATCTGTAAAAAAAGCACTTTTGAACACTGTAAAATGCACTTGAAGTGTAACCTTCGAAATAATTATTATTAATATTCGACATATCGGTATTTATTTAAAAATGAACCGATTTAAAAATATATATTTTTAGTTTGTAGTATTCGAAATGCTTTGTCATATGTCATTTCCATGGCCCTCTATGATTAATAGAAAGTTTTAAAGTCTTATTATTTTAACATTAATACCGAATTGTCGGGAATAAAATGAAACACACTGTATTTATAAGTAATACAGATATTTTTTTTTAATCACGATTAAAAATAATATAAAATTTATGTTCCACAAAATTAAATCAGTGTAAAAAGCAAACATTTTATAGCATTTCTTATCGAACACATAATAATTTTTGATTTTCTATTCCATATCAATACAGCAAATAAACTTTATTTAATAAAGATAAGGAAAAAATCTATTTTCTGACAATATACGTACATGTAGTTTTGGTTTTTATAGCTTTAAATAGAATTCTTTTGATAGAGAGATAGAAATAAGAATTAATATTATGTAAGAATTAGATGTACATAAAATGCTTTAAAATATATTTTTGTTTTTCCTTCCTTGAGTTTTTGAGTTCGCAAATGTTCGCCCCAAAAAAACAAACGTTGTTTATCTTAATTCAAGGATTTAACAAGTAGCTTTAAAGAACTCTAGCTTTATTAAGCAAGGTATCTGCAGCGAGCTGAAGTTAACATGGCTGACAGATCTAACTTGGTTATTTATAATAAATTTTAACTTTTTACAAAAATAGTTTTGCATCCTTTTATAAACACAAGGGGCATCGAGAATATAGGTATAGGTAAATAGTTTTAAAACATTAAAATAACAAAAATAAAAGATTTTAAAAAACATATAAGTAATTCGAATAAAAAAGAAAAATATATTTTGTTCCTTAATTTTGTAAATTAAATATTAGTTTTATGCAGTTTTTAAAATCAAGTCAAAAGGATTTACAATTTTTTTAATAGTTTATTATATACAAGGTGTCCCTAAACTTATTGGCATACATTTAGGAAAAGATTGAGCAAGTTAAAATAAGACGAAAACCTAAATAAATTTTTTTCCTTATTACTTATGTTTTCAAGATACAGGGTGATAAAGTGTTACCTATCATATCAGTTTTTTTAATAATTTCTACTATGGTAGTCTTGGAAACGTGATATTTTGCGAACAGTCACTTACTACCAAAATACATATTCACACATAATTACAATTGTTTAAGTGAACACAGTGTCGTAGAAACGGGGGTTGCTTTAAGCTTATTGTCCCATACAAACTTTGAGGTTAGGTTTTTATAACATTTGATACAATTTTTCGATTACACAGTTCGGCTACCATTAAAAAGGTGTACCTCTCAAACTTCGATAAAATAAACTTTTTCTGAGATATTCGAGATTACAAATATTGTAATTTACAATAATTGTTATATCGCATTATTTAATCCTTAAAAGGTATATGATAACAAATTTTATTTTTTAATTGAAAAAACTAAAAAGGGCATTCCAGGAGCCTTGAGATTTTTTCCCTCACCGTCACATTAAAAAAAATGTAGTTTTTTCAATTAAAAAATTTGTTACCATATACCTACCTTTAATGCGATATAACAATTATGGTAATCTCGAATATCTCGGAAACGGTTTATTTTATCGAAGTTTGAAAGGTACACCTTTTTAATAGTAGCCGAACTCAGTAATCGAAAAATGGCATCAAATGTTATAAAAACCTAACCTCAAAGTTTGTATGGGACAATAAGCTTAAGCAACCCCTGTTTCTACGACACTGCGTTCACTCGAACAATTGTAATTATGTTTGAATATGTGTTTTGGTAGTAAGTGACTGTTCGCAAAATATCACCTTTCCAAGTCTACTATAGTGGAAGTTATATTAAAAAACTGATATGATAAGTAACACTTTATCACCCTGTATCTTTTAAACATCCCTATTAGGAAAAATATGTATTTAGATTTTCGTCTTATTTTGACTTGCTCCTAAATTTATGCCACTAAATTTAGGGACACCTTGTATAATAAAGTGGTGTCGCGATAATCCGAATTTCGTTTGATTCGGTAATCCGAATTTAATGACGTTTTTATATAAAAGTGTAAAAATAAAGTTTGCAGCATTTAACTTGCATTTTTGCAGTAAAAAAACTTACCTATTTCTTTTTAGTTAAAATAAAAATGTAACCTATTTTTATTAAACATTGGTATTTTAATTCAGGTTTAATTCAGAATAATAGGTGCTATACAATACATAATTTAGAATTTTGCATATAAAAGTTATTGCCATTTTAAAGCCAATTTCGTCTTATTTTTAGAAAATAAAACGAAATTAACGACAGATATATAACCTCAAATAGTTGTATTCAAATGTCAAGGTGGGACTTTAGGGTGTGGAGCATTAGATTCTACTACTAATTTATAATTTATTGAATCCCCCTTTATGTTTTCCACATTTGTATATTAATAAAGTTCTTACTTTATTAATTATTTAGTTTACAAGATACCCTAATGATTTTTTAATCAAACAGTGCAAAAATATTTAATTGCACATGGTTAATAAACAAATGATATTTCTAAAAAAAAATAAACCGTGACTTGATACTTGATATTCTGATAAATATTAAAGCACAAAATATAACATTAAAACGTTTGCACTCACCAAATTCCAGGTTCCAAAGTTAAATGAACAGTTTCCAGCGAGTCGAATCGATGCCCTATAATTAACAAAAAATAAATAAACTACAAGCCACCCAATTAAATTAAATAATAAAAAAAAGAACGGAATAAACGCAAAACAGTGGAATATAATAATAAAATTGTGCCTAGGCAAAAAAAGTAACGTCAGGTTCGTTAAACTTGCTGATTCTTGACTTTTCAGCAACAAACCGGAAAGCAGTTCATTCCAAACCTGAGCGCACACACTCAAAAGAACACGCATCATCATCAGAGGTGTCAAGTGCCAATAAGGCTCAAATTACAAGTGATACTGTTAAGGTAGTATCTTCATTTAAAGAGTTTCCATATTATGTCTACAATATAAAATATGATTTTGTAAGGCATCAGAAACATTCAACACTTCTGCACAAGTGTTATTTTTTATAGATTCTCTCAAATTCGTTTTTAAACTCGAGCAACCAAAAAATAATGGCTTAGAAATTAATTATTACAGTAGGTAAATCTCAAAATAGTATATTAAAGTACAAGTTGCAGAAGGCCACATATTCTCGCACGAATTCGAAATTTGGCCTCGAGCGACGAAGGAGCGAGTGGACGAACGAATGAGTGCGAGAATAGCCTTCTGCAACGTGTGATTTATACTATTTTCTCGATTTTAACTTTTATTTAGGTTTTTTTAATTGTTTTGTGGTCGTTGTTAGTTAGGGGATTTTTCTCGCAAAATGTCAGTTGGCAACACAAAATGACAATATTTGTTATCCTGCACAAGTACAACCTGAACTGCACTTTTACACATTAAACTTAAAATTTTGCATTAAAATGCATTGTTAGAGCAAACTTTATATTACAAAACAATAATAAAGGCTTCATTTTTAATAAAAGTAATGAATTTGAGGTTATTAATCAGTTTGACATTTTGGGGCCCCCAAATTGGGGGTACCAATACTTAAAAACTAAATGTTACCAAAAATCGTTTAAGAATGAGCTTCATTCTTCAACGATTTTGCGTGCGAGAATATGACATTCTTACATAAAAATCGAGAAAACAATTATTTAGCACTAAATAAAATTGTCATTTCAAATTTCGTGCTGCCAACTTAAGAAACACAAACATATGACAGTTTAAACCTTAATTTTACCATTATAACAACAAATTAACAATTTAGATCGTTACTTATTTACTTCTTAAGTTGTTTTTAGCTTTTAATGATCCTTTAATTTGTAATAAAGTATTAATTCGTAAATAAAAAAACAACGTTTTATTTTTACTACATTGGCACCGCTGAATTTGCTGTCTCGGCCTACTGTTATAAATATATTTATTAATCAAACCCTTGAAATGGAGATACGAATTTTTTACATATTTTGATAATTTGCTTATGTCATGCTTTGAAAATGTTTAACAATTTAAAAAGCTTTTTTATTATGTAAAAAGAATGTTGCAATTTAGTAATGCACGCCTCTGATAAATCTGCCAAAACCTTTTGACTAAAAGTTTTTAGTGAATTTCTTTCTAGGCATAGACATACATATGCGTTTTTTTATATTTGGAATTTGTAATCAAAATGTGAAATAATTTTAAATAATGTTTTATGTTTCCCAGAATTAAATTGTTTTGCTAATATTTAAATTATTTTTTTTTATTTACCTACCTAAATATAAAACTTTATATTTATTTACTCAATTAAAGCAAAAATGCAAGAGTAAAATAAAATATTAATATTTATTATTTTTATACCTACCATATGGTATGAAAATAAGAAGTATTTATATTTTATTTATATAGGTATAGTTATATTTATATAAATATATAGGTATACAAAACTCAAAACACTATACACCAAAAATATGCTGATTTACGTATTACTTTAAAAGGAAACAATCTTACATATTAGGTACTTCACAACCACCTGATAAAAAAATTACACAACTTACCGTCCAAAATCAGCCTCTGCACCACGTTAACCATGTCTTTAGCTTCCTTTTTGTAAAATTCATTTTCAGACTCGGGTTTTAGTTCTAAACCTATGTTACAAGTTAAGGAAAACAATCAAAAACAAATAAACTTACCAAAAGTTAGGTTAGGTGATACCGGTGAGTTGATAAACTTGCTGGAAATGCCGCGAACTATCGTTGATACGTTAACTATCGAAAAATTAATTGCACATATTTTTTGACGTGTTCACCAAACTAACCGATAAAAAAGTGCTAGAAAAACCACACCGTCGACATTTTATTTTAAAACATTTATGTCTCATGGATAACTATGACTAAATTTTGTTTTAAATAATCCAATTGTTGTGGAGCAAAGCCTACTAATTGGTATGTATAAGTTTTATTGTAAGATTTTTGTTTTACATTTAAAAAGTAAACAACAGGTGATAAAGCAACGCAACGCGACATCTTTTAGTACAGTTATAAAATACGGGCAGAAACCCGGAAAACCATAAAATAGTTGCGTCGTAAATCGACAGATGGTGAAACTGTAACGAAATTTTATGTTACTTACAATTTTATTACTTTTAACGCTGTTGCCAAACTAAATGCGAATTATTAAAGAAACGTTTATATAAATTATGCATAAGTACCTATAGCTTTTATTAAAAACGTGTTTTTGAATTAATTTTCTGGTTACTAAGGAAGCAATGATAATATTTAATAAAACTCGTTTTTTTCTTATTTTGATTAGATTTTTGAAAAAAAAGGATACATTCTACCATTTCCGGTACACCTTGTGGTACTTCGTCATTTTTCGCACAAAACCTTGCCACTTCTTTCCTCAAGTCATGGAACATACTATAATACAGTGGTAAATCGAATTCTTTTCGGCACGCCTCTGGATGGAGACATTGTCTTAGGGGCAATTGGCCGTCTGTCACTAACCTAAAAAGATACAACAAAAATTGCATTATTTTATAAAACTGGTAAATTTGGCAACAATGCATTATTAAATTAGTACGGACTTGTATGCAATTAAAAATATGGATTTTGACCCTATTTTCAATGTTGGCCGTTTAAAGCAAATTTATAGATATTTTATGATTATTTTGTTGAAAATATTTAAGTATCTGCATCTATGGAAACTTGTTACTAATACAAAATTTTATCTTTTTTAAACCTTTTTTGTACCTCTTATGAATTTTAAAATTATATTATTTTACTTTTTTGTAATTTTCAATTATCCAAAATAAGACAAGCAGCATTTTAATTAAAAGTGTGGAGCTTTGAGGCAATATTACTTAATTTAAGTAAACATTTTGTAGTAAAACTTTTTTTAAAATTATTTAATAAGTTTTATTCATGTTATTTTTACCTATTTTAATAACCCTTAATTTACACTTTAAAGTATTATGAGGGGCGTAATTTTTACGAAAGAAAATTACTTATAAGTGTATTTCACCTAAAGGAAAATTTAACGGTAATTTGAACGTCATAATTTTTACTTAATGGTAAATGTTACTCATAGGTCATAATTTTACGATATTAAGACCACTTTATAAGCGTAAATAATTCCTATTTGCCTGGTATTTTTTAGGGTTATTAGTGGTAATAAATACTATTAATATTGACTAAACAAGGAAAAATAAACTTAAAGTGAAAAATAAATAATAGTTTTTTTAAGGTGGCATCCATTACTTATCTAAACATTTATATATTATTTTTTCATAAATATTTTTCTAAAATTATTAAAAAATGATTAAAAATAAATGATTTAAAAGATTTAATAAATTTTGTTAGGTTTTAAGTTTTTTCTTAAAATTTTTAAGATGTATCGTGCCTATTTTTATTAATAAAATAATGTGAGTTTGAGTTTAAATGCAAAATATTATTAGTTTTGACAATTTAAGTTATATTTTTTAATTTTACTCTAGGGTGGCCTTTATTACTTTGTGAGTACCATTTTGTAAAATATAAATTAAAAGAACAAAGAAATTACGAATGTCAATGTTTTAGAAATAGAGAGCAAACAGTTAGTAATTATAGCGTTATTTTTACGTACATTTGTGGTATTTATATTGTTTTTATTAAGTTGTTCTCTTAGTACTTAGATCAAAAAGTTTATTATGTAGGTAAAATAACGAAATAAACCATTCCCCAAATTTGGTAATTTTTCGTAAATATCAAACCGTTTTGGTTAACCGTAAAAAATACTTTAAAGTTGACTTAGTAGTAAATTTGTAGTGATTTAAACTTAAAATGCTGCTTGGGTGGCAACGTTGTTATGTGGTTCTTCTTACCTAAATCCCGCGTTGTGCGGATCTATATGCAAACTGTTGCAGTAAGTGTCGAATTCCGTGAGCGCGTCCTCCAACTGTCTTCCGGCGCTCTTGATCAGTTCGTCGGTAAGAACGGATTCGGATGTCAGCTGTTCGGACAAGATGTTCTCGTTCACGTCCGCTGTTTGCGGCCTGATTGGGTACTGTTGAACACCGACAATCTGAAATGAAAAGAAGAATTAAATAAAAAATGTTTATTGTTAGAAGTGCAAATTTACATAATTATTAAAAAACATGGTGGAAAAACACACAGAAAAAATAAATGTGTATGAAGGTATACAGAAAACCTATAAATGTTCATTAATAAGAACAAAATTTAAGTCTTCTGGAGTGGCCAGCTAGTAGTCCCGATTTAAACTCAATTGAACATCTTTGGAGCATTATGAAAAAAATAGACCATCTAATAGAGTCGACGCCTAGAATATTTTATGAGGTTTTAAGAGCTCGAGGAGGATTAAATTTAATTTTTTGCAACCATTTTTTTTTAATAAAAAAGTTTAAAATTTGTTAAGGGATTTTTATTTTTTTTGTTATTGTGTGTATATATTATATATGTGAATATTTCACAGTGATTGTATATACCAGGGTGTTTCATTTAAAACGACTATTTTTTGTTTTTCATCGAAAAAAAATTCTCTAAAAGTTTAAGCCCTTAATCAATTCTAACTAATTTATTTTTAATTTTTCCAATTTAAAAAGAATGTATTTTCAATCACTTTTTTTTCATTTCTATATCTTTGCCGTTGTGGTTCATTCATTGTTTCTTCCAGAATTTTTCTCTCTTGATTCACCTTGATGGTATCAGCTTTGAAAGTAATTTCTTTCACTTTTTTCACATATTTTTGAAAATATTAAGAGAATGGCTTGTCTTACTGAAACATTTTGAAGGAAAAAGTTGAAGAAAATTTAATTTTCTACAAAAAAATACTTACTTTTATATCGCTAAAGTGCACAGTTTACAAGATATGAGTAGTTTAATATTTAAAAATTTTAAACATTTGTGTTTTCATGAGATTAATTTTTCTAAAATTCGATTCAATGACTATTAAATATCTTGTAAACTGTGCACTCTAGCGATATAAACATAAAAACTTTTTTGTAGAGAATGAAATTTCCTAGAACTTTTTCCTTTAATATTTTCAAAAATTTGTAAAATAAAGTAGAAAAATTACTTTTAGAGGTGATACTATATGGTATCAAGGTGAATCGAGTTAAAAAAAAAGCTCTTTTAAAAAGCGTTATATACTCTGTAAGTAACAATAAAGATATAGAAATTAAAAAAAAAGATACATACCTATGTTTTAAATGGGAAAAAGTACTTAAAATCAAAGTTAAGCCTCAAACTTTGAGGGAATTTTTTTCTCGATGTTTTAAGCAATATTTTGGAGTTTCGGTGAAAAACAAAAAATAGTCGTTTTAACTGTAACATCCTAATATACAGTGTGTTCCATTTTAATTGGCGACAATTCGTTACCCATTTATTTAAAAATAGACAGATTAAAAAAATATTATTTTTTATTATTAACCGAGGGGGAAACCACCTTTCGCAATACGTGTACATTTGGCCCGAAATCACTCGCAATCGCCGAAATCCTTACCCGCAATCCCGCAGTCACTTCGCAATCGCCGAAATCCCTACCCGCAATCCCGCAATCGCCGAAATCCCTATCAGCAATCCCGCAATCGCGGAAATCCTATACTTGCAATCCCGCAATCGATCGAATTCGACGATGATGGGGGTATAAATCGACAACGCCTGCGCTCTGCAGCCATTTGCATAAGATTGGCGGAAGGTATACGTTGGTACCTACCTTAAAAACCTTAAAAAACAATTGTTTATAGTGTTTGTGAATTTTGCGATTTAGGCTGAATCATTCAGCACATGTGGTAAGACTGGTTAGTACATATCAAAGTTAGATACTAATCTATTACGCGTATTTCGCCCCGTTAGGGATTCCATCGAAACGAGACAAAAGAATGCCCCCTCTCGCCGAGAATCTCTCTCGATTTTTCCGGTACTTAAAATCAAACAGATATTTATTTAATATAGATATACCGCAAGCTATACATAGGGAAAATACATTGTAGGTGGACCAGACAAGTTGAAGTCAGCGCAAAGCGAAAAAGTTCTCAGAAATTATTTGGACGTAATAAAATTTTAGTCGCCAGTAAACAAGGTCACCTGTTACGTCGCATGTTAGACTTCGACTTGTCTGTTCCACCTACAATGTATTTTCCCTATGTATAACTTGCAAATGAAGGTACAGTAGAATTCCATATCACCACGCATGTACGTACTGTGCACCTTTGATTTATTTGCCGCCGTTAATATAAATTTCCTGAAATAGTAATTCTGTATAACACATTAAAAATACCTACTTGTTTTAAATTTTAAAGTAATCGCAAATGTTTTTAAATATAAGATTTGAGAAAAATATGTTATTGATGAATAAATTAATTGAAGACACTAGTGAATAAAGCGTCTAAGTGACAAAATTTTGCGGATTCAAAATGGCAGATATCTGTGCGCAATAAATACTAGATGACCGTACCTATGCGCAGTGGTTACCAGATGACTGTACCTATGCGCAGTAGTTACTAGATTACCGTACCTATGCGCAGTAGTAAGGTGCACTTTCGGCGTAAAAAGTTTTACTTTTACACAATTTTTTTTATTTCGTGTTTAAATTTCAACAGAAAAAAGTTTTGTACCAATTTTATCCAAAATATTTTTTTGTGTTTTAATTTTATAGCTACTTCGAGAGAAGAGTATTCTCGTCGAGACGTGGACCCATTTTCTCTCCCTGTACGAGACGAGACAAAAGAAACACTTCTCTTCTTTTCTCGTTTCCCGACATCACTACGCAACGTCAACAAAAATTAAGTCTAATTATCGGCGCACCAGACCCGTTTTTTGTTTTTTTTACTTTAGCGGTGTTTTTATGTCGGTTTTTATTCTGGCGACTGTTTAACTAAAATAAAAATGAATTAGTCCAAAGAAAAAAAATTCGACTATTTTTCAGTTGGTCCCATTTTTGACACTTTTTGGAGGGTAGGGAAGTTATTATCAGAGATAAGAGTTTTGCGGTTTTTACTTCAATGTCCTATTTTTTTCACGAAACAAAAGATCCCGGTGTCAAATTTGCCATAGCCTTCTTAATTCGTATTCTACAGAGTAATACTAAAAATAACCAGTGGTATGGAATGTGCGCAGAGAATTAAAAAAAAGTTTCATGGCTTGTAAAATCCTCATATATTTTTGAGAGGTTCTGACACTGATTTTCTTTCGTTTAAAGAAAGGTTTTTGAAAAAAATCAACATGCTTCTTCTAATTAATAGCCGTGAATATATTTTTTTTAAACGCCAAAAACAAATAAACAGGATATTTCGATAATTAGAATTAATTACTAAATGACGACATAAAAAAATGAGCTGCAAAAAAAGTACTCACCTACATTTGACACCAAGTTATGATTTCTATTTACGTCGATTTATTTATTTTTTTATTAGAAAATGGAAGTTCCTCAGGAAGTTTACGAATCGAGTAGTGAAATACAAAATTCCAAAGTTAAAAGATCAAAAACTATAACAATTTTTAAGGCATGATTTTAAGGAAACGGTTCATCTGAAAATTTCGTTTTTACCTTTTTTGTAGAGCATTCAATTTTCTTCAAAAAATATTTTCGAGTAAATTTTGTTCTCAAAGGTTTGGGACAAAAACTTGCTGAGGAAAAAAAAAATTAAAACTGCGATGATAGACCTCTTAATATTAATATTATGGACTCAAATTTTCACAATATTTTTTTTGTCACCCCAAACCATATTTTCGGTATACTTTTCAAAAAAAAAATAGTTGATTTTTTTGGCCCAGTCTAATGTAGCCCCTATTCAATTTTAAAAATATTCATTTTTTGTTCCACCCTAATGTTTACTTTTATAAAACTACTTAAAAGGTTAAAATTAAAATAATAAAAATATTTAAACAGTATAATGGTTTTTCTAGACTTGCTAACTGACTTTTTCCTTCCTTTTTTTGCTTTAGTGAGTTTAAGAAACTCAATACCTTTATGCTTAAAAAATAAGGTAGGTAGATTTTGTACAATTAGAGGGGATTGTCCATGTCACATTATAACATCTTGCGACATGGACGTCATATAGACTCTTTTTGCACAAATTAACTACCGAATCAAGCTAGCAATCATGTCTACAATTCAACCCTACCCAACGGAAATCGTCTCACAATCCCATTGCAGCCCTGCAATCACTAATTTCATGTCGCAATCCTCCAAAATCCCAACAATTTATAAAGAATTCTCCGAAATCACCGCAATCATTCCGAAATCATGGGATTTCGGTCGCAATCCTCCGAAATCGCAACAATTTATAAAGAATTCTCCGCAATCATTCCGAAATCATGGGATTTCGGTCGCAATCCTCCGAAATCGCAACAATTTATAAAGATTTCTCCGAAATCACCGCAATCATTCCGAAATCATGGGATTTCCGCAATACGTGTACATATTTTTTGGAGGTGGTTTCCCCCTCGTTATTAACATAAGGTCTTCAAAAACGTCAAAAGTAATTAGACATTTTTTAAATTAAAAAAAAACCCTAAAACGATATACAGGATGGTCAAATTTTTTTAAACACTTTTTATAAATTTTAGCAAATATTTTGCGAGAACATTTTGTTCAATTTATTAAATTCGTGATTATTTTGCCTACTACCTATATTTTGACTTACCACCACTACCTAAATATCTTTTGTTTTTTTGTTCGACCGCCATATTGGTATTTTACTTGCTTAGATAGAAAGAAAAAAATCAACGATGTTTAAAACTTTCTACTTATAGAAGTTATGGCGCCCAATATAAAAACAAAAGATGGGTAACGAAGTTATGACAATTTTTTGTTTTAACAGGTTTTTAGATTTTTTAAATATTTTCAAAACCAAATTTTAAATTTCATTTTAATGGACTTTTTTCTGATATAGCTCTAAAAATAATAGACCTGCACACTGTATAATATACAGGGATAAATATTATACATGGTGTTTCACATTCGTGGTCTATGTTTTTAGGACTATTTTTCTAAAATATTTTAAACAAAATTTATCAATTAATAAATTTATCAAATTATCATCAACTTTCTTATTTTAAATA